GTTGGGGCTGGGGTTCTTTGGTAAGGGTTTCCAGATGGCATCGGGGCAAGTCTAGAGTAAGGGGAAAAGACATCTTTCCGAGAGTGTCGAATTGTGGGACTATGCTTAGGACAGATGGCATTTTGTTTCAGATGCTCTGACTTTTTCCCACCACCTTCCCATGAGGGTTGGCTACTTAACGAGGTCCTCAGTCTGGCCTGGAGCTGCCAGCTCGCTTTAAGGACTTGGAGAAGCTATAAAACTTTAGAAATTCTCCCTGGCTTTATCTATAGTAACTACTGCTCTGTATTTACAAAACTTCAAGTCATAACATAGCTCTTTCTCTTGAATAACAGCTCACTAGTTAGCGGTAGCTTCCTGGAACAGTGCTGAAAAGGATTCTGGGCAGTAAGTTCAGGGGAAAAGTGCACTACAACGAATGAGCAATATCTGCTGAGGGCCAGGGACTGGCTAGCGGAGACGATTATCTGTAGGGCAAGGGCACTGGACTAGAGAGGCTTTGAGGACCTTCCCTCTGCCAACACCCTGAGTCATTCCCTCCCTCCATGAAGGGTGGAGCAGGGTTGGGACGACATATGGGGTCCTTGCTGCATATGAGGGCACCTGGATCTAAGATCTGTTCTTTTACTGAGGTGCAGGCAGCTGTGATCGCTACAGGACACTACACAGGCCACCCCCTCACTGTGTCCCACACACACTTTCCCTTTAAGGGCCCGCTCCTGCCCTCATCCCAGCATTTCAGTCCTAGGGGAACCCATGCAAAGCCCCAGCCTCTCAGCCACTGCTTTGATCTCTCCCCTAAAAGGTCCCCTGGAAAGGACCCAATAAAGGGCCCTTGCACACACCCTATAAATGTGAGACGTCGCTATTACAATGGTTATTTTTATTATATTTAAGGATGAGGGAGTCTGCCTGGGGTCCCTCAGTATTCACCTTGAAGGTGGCTGCTGACACCCCTTGCTTGCCCTTGGCCTACTAATGGATTTGGTTATTCCAAATTCCTCTCCCCCCTCTTTCCAGTGCACACCCTCTGCCCAGCCATAGGTGACATCTGATTGCTTCCATTTGGGACATTCCGGTTTCTCTCTTCACGGCGAGCACATCAAGCAACAGCAGCTGGAGTGCTCATTAAGGGTCCCAGACCAGGAGAGGGGGCCGACGGGGGAAGAGCTGGGGCCTGAGGGCTGGAAGCCGCGCTCCCAGCTCCCAGGAGCTGGCCCCCCACCCATCCCCCACCCAGCCTCCCCTCCCAGTGGCTTGGCCCTTCTGCTCACATCTGCCTGGGGCTGGGGCTCGCCTCATTCCAGGCTCCCCTCCTGCTGGGTCCCCTCAGCTTTCCCTGGCAGTCCCCTCCTCCTCCTGCCTCACTTCTGTGCCCCAGCAGGCTGCTTCCAAAATGGGGTGGGTAGAGTGAATGCGCCCCCAGATCCCTGCCTCCGGGCTGCCGCACAGGCTGTGTGCCTCACCAGGTGCTGTGCCCGATGCCTTTCTTCCACCCTTCAGGGAGTGGCCAGGGCCGACCTGCTGCAGGACTGCCTGCCCGCCCCAGGTCCCTGGGGGCCCCCTGCAGGTACTCCTGTGGCCCTGAGCATGGCCTCTGGTGGCAGCACCCTGCAGTGCAATCCCACAGCCTCCCCAAGAGGGAGGCCGGGCCTGGGTTTTACAGAGCAGGAAGCGGAAGCTCAGGGGGCGGCAAAGCCCAGCTGGAATCCTGGGTCTAGGCCCCCATATGCGCAGGGCGTCCGTGTGCCCCTTGAGAGCAGGGATCCCCTGCACACACTTTCACAGGCTCATTCTTTAACAAAGCCACGCCCCCCTCTCTTCTCTGCATCTTCTTTTCTCCCAGGGACTTCCGCTAGCTCCAGCTCTCCCTTCTCTGCCTCACCCTCTCCTCACCTGTGCCCTTGGCTCCAATTTGGGAGATCATACCTGAAAAAGAAAAGGCCTGGGGTGGAGGAGGGCCTTGAGTTTCTCGGGGACACCTTGGCTGGCCCAGAAGTGTCCTGCTTCTGACACAGTGCTGCCCCGTAGACCTCTCTACCACGACACGTGCGATGACTCTGTGTCTGTGCCGTCTGGCCCAGCAGCCACCAGCTCCAGGTGTCCACCGGACACTTACTTGAAATGGGGCTGGTGTGACCGAGGAACTAAATTCTAAATTTTGTGTAATTTGAACTAATGTAGATGAGTCACTCATGACCGGAGGTTACCATGTTGGACAACGCAGTCCTCAGAGTGTCCCTTCAGGAGCCCTTGGACTGCATGGCACAACCAGCAGATGCACCCTGGGGCCCTCTGTATGCAGGCCGGGCCACGCACCCTGCCACCCACAGGACAGCTCTCTCCCTCCGGTCCCCATGCCCTTCCTACCGACTTCAGGTCCCACCACTGTTGCCACCATTTCCATTCACTCCCCTCTGACCCCACTTCTCCCCCTAATCTGGGTCACAGTCCTCTCTGGCCTGCACTAGCCTCTCGTTTGACCTCCCTGCTCTGCCTTAAGTTCCCATTCTGGGGACATTACTGCTCCCCTCTAGACCCTTCCATGGCTCCCCACCGCTCTTACATAGATTAACTGTCTCCGAGGTCCCTCTCGACCGAGGCCCTGTCTCTCCAGCCACTACGCCACCCTCCAGCCTTCCAGGGTCATGGACTTTCTTCATTTCCCCAAAGCAAACCCCTCCCTTTGACTTTCAGCCTCCCGAGGCTATTTCCTTTGCCCCTAAGAACAAGACCCCCACGCTCATCCCCTTTTGCCTGGAAAACTCCTATTTACTTTGAAGACCTTGCTTGAAAATCACTCTCCCAGGAAGCCACCCCATCAGGTGGCTGCATGGCAGTACATTCCCCAGGCCTCCCCGCCCTCCACGATCAGTACCTTTCACAAGACGCAGCCCCTGCCCATTTTCTTCTTTGTGCCCTGTGCGTCTGCACGTTTAGGAAGGCAGAACACATGGCCTGACACACAGGTGACTCTCGGGAAGCTTTTGCTGAATGACTGGATGAGAACCAACAAAGAAGATGGCAGGACAGAGTGGGAAAAGTGCTGGACGCAGGGTCAGGAGCCCTAGGTTCTAGTCCTGGATCTCACCATGTGACTCTGAGTAACCTACTGCCCGTCTCTGGGCCCTAGTTCCCCCGTCTGTGAAACAGGGTCAGTTCAGCTGCTCTGCAGATGAGAGGGCTAGACGTCAGTGGGGTAGACATGCAGCTGCCATTTCGGAAAGAGGAATCAGCATGTCAGATAACACTGCCAGCTCCAAGACCCTAAGAGCACGAGACGTGGCGTGGCTAAGTCTCAAACAGAGGAAACAAGATCTGGGAAAGGGCGGTGGCCAGAAAGGGGAAAGGAGGATGCGAGGAAAGGAGTGAAACTCCCAGGGTCTGACGCTTGTCTTTCAGCCAGTGGCACCCCACAGATGCCCGGGACAGCCCTCTCTGCCCTCACACCCGCCGCTGTACAGCCAGTCCCATGTGCACTCGCAGGCAGGCGGACCACAGAGGCTGCCTGCTTGCGTTGCTGAGCCTACAGCCCCTGCCCGGCCTCCTCCCCCACCCTGCCAGGCCAGGGAACTGTGGCGGCCTGACAGCCCTCTGGATTCCCTAGGATCTGGCAGAGCATGGGAATGAGCTGACAGCAGCAGTAAACTTGTCCTGTGGCCACTCTCTCTGTTCTGGCCACGTGGCCTCCCCCTCCTTGACCAATCTGGAGACCTGCTTTGCCAGGTAGGGGCACCTGAGAGGAGCCAGGCTGTAGGAACTGGTGCATCATTCCAGAACCATTACAACACCACTACAGAAAGAGATGGGCTCTTGCGCTTTCCATTGTCACCACCATTTTTTGAGCCCAGCGAGAATAGGGTATTTGCCCCAGGTTGCACAGCCTGAGTAGGAACAAAACAGACCTGCTGGACTCTACCATCCTGTTCCTCACTGTTCCACCCCACTTCTTACTAAGAGGCCCTCCTGGTTTTTCCGATGGAAACCTTCCATGCCTATTGCAGGACCTCTTCCCAGGCTGCTGCAGCCCTTACCTGTGGCTCCTCCCCTCTACCCCGCCCTGGATACCCTGTGCTGTCCAGATTCCCGTAAGTTACTCACCAGGCCTCAGGCCTGTTCTCTGATGGCACCTATAAGACACATGTCCCTCTTTCCTGGGGAGGGTGGGTCTTTTTATGTACTCCCCAGAGTGCCACGGTTAAGGGACACTAGTGGCTTTTAATCCACTTGTGTTAATGAACATTTTGGAAATGGATGAAAGCTCAGCATCTTTTCCCCAGAAAAAAAAACACACTGACACAAAATGTTTGGGGGCCATTGCAGAGGGCAGGAAAAAAGAAACCCAGCTTAGGAACAAGAGGGTAGGCAGAGCCAGGGAGACCCACACCTGGGCCCCAGTGGTCTGGGGCAGTGGGCAGGGGCCAGGACACCACCAGCTGCAAGAACTGTCCCCTCTGGCCCCCTCAGCCCCTTGGATAACTTACTCCCTCACTCTATCTTCCGAAAAGGAACATTAGCAATAAAAGGTAATACTAATCTTCCCGGGATAGATGGGGAGGGTCATGGGGACCCAGCAAGCCTCGGTCTGGGGCCACAAGGAACACGTCCTGCCGCGTGGGCGCTGGGCGGCTTTCACCCTACCCTGGCTGGGTGCCGGGTGGGAGAAGTGGGGGCTTGGCCGCCTCCGAGCTTCTGGGCGCGCCTTGCCTTCCTCCACCTGCCTCAAGCGCCCAGGGCGCTCCCAGCCCCAGACACTGGGGGCGCCTGCCCAAGGGGGGTATTGAGGGGGTCCCGTTTAAACAGTTCGGGTCCTCGGGGTCTCTGGCAGGGCAGAGCCCTTCCCCGCCCCCACCCTTCCCTCAGACAACTTGGGTGAGTCCCGGGGCGCACCGCGCGGCGTGGATAGAAAGCTCCCGCGGGCACCGGAGGGTGGAGAGTTTGGAGGTTGCGCGAGGGGGCGCCGCGGGGAGGGATAAAAGCCAGCAACAAAGAGCACAGACCTCATCCAGCAGTTGGTTGACTCGTCCCAAAATAGCTGTCTCCATTTGCTGCTCCCCACACTCTGCTTCCAGGCGCAGCACCCGGGCCTGCAGCTCCGTGGTCCGAAAGTGGGTGAGCAGGCTGAGCACGAGCGAGCACAGGGTCAGCGCCAGCAGCCCGCACGACCCCGGGCTGGGCAGCCGCGCGCAGCGCTCAGCCGGCGCCACCGCCAGAGCCACCGTCCCGGGAGCGCCCAGCTCCCCAGGGCCTCGGGCACCGGCAGCTGCCGCTTTTCGGGTGCGCTCCGCTACCATCCCCTCGCGTCTTGAAAATCAATAAATAAATAAATAGAATAAATAAAGGAGAGAGCCACTGCCCAAAGGCTCGATCCAAGCTGCAGGGCAGGGGGGAAAGGGCTTGTGTGGCTGGAAAATGTCCCTTTCCTTTACTCCCGGCAAAGAGTATGGAAAAATTAGCAGCAAGAGAGGGGAAGCCGAGAAAACACAAGCCGCCGTAATCGGGGTACGCCCAGGTGAGAAAAAGTTACTTCGAGGAGCGTTCCAAGTCCGGGAAAGTTAGGGGAATCTGGCCGGCACTTCTCTCCGCCCCGTCTTTCCCTTCAAGTGTCTGCAGAGTCCTCGAGTTGATTCTGCACAGTCGGTGCTTCTTGGTGTCTCGCGTCTTCCCGGCGAGCCAGTTTCAGTCCCGGAGCGAAGGGGCGCGATTAGAGGGCCCCATGGGCAGAGGTGGGTCGTGGCCGCTGCGGAGGAGCGCTGGGGCCGATTCCGGCGTCTCTGTAACTTGACACACGAGCTGCGGCTGCACGGATCGGATGAGCAATCCGTGCTACTTCCCAAACTAATCTCTCCCGCCTCCCTCCCTCCTCCTCCTCCTCCTCTCCTTTCCTCCTCCACCTCCTGCGGGGCCGACGGCTTGGATTTGTTTATTTATTCAAACTCGCCCCGGGTGGGGGGCGTGGTGTGCAGGGGCCGCTCCCCCGAGCCACCGGCCCCGGGGAGCGGCCTCTCCCGCTATCTCTGTCCGCTTTGAAGTGACGCGGGGTTATTTATAGGCAGGAAGAGGGTGTGGAGTGGGGCTGAGGCTTCACCTCTCTCTCTTCCTCCCGATTCTCACCCGGAGCCCTCTGCGACTTGGGGCCAGGCATCACTCTGTTTTCTGATGAACTGGCAAAGCCGGCCTTTGGGATCCTCCAAGGAGCCCGGCTGAGTTATCACCGGGCATCTAGATGCATCTCCAGGTTCTGAGCAGGAGGACCTGAATCCCTCCGGCTGCCATTACGCGCTCCCCCCTCCCCGTCCCCTCCATGTCTTATTCCTTCCCTGGCTCCCCAAATTCACGCCGCCTTGGGCTCTCTGCCTCCCGAGTCCCGCAGTTTCCCCAGGGACTTCGGTGGGGCGCGTTCCGCCAACCACACCTTCCCTCGGGGTGGGGGCGGGGGAGGTGATGAGTCAGCCCTCCAGGGGGCAGCACGGCGGTGCCTCTTCCTCTTTCGCGACCCCGGCGTAGCAAAGGTATCGGAGAACGAACAGAGCGCAGCGGGAGGGACCGGGTGGGCCCGGAGGTGGAAAAGGGTACGGGGGAGTAAATGGTAATGGAAAATACAATAAAAGTAGTGTAAACAATAAATGAATTTTTTTTTTTAAAAAACTGAGAGGAAGTGTTCATTCCAGGGTTTCTGAGGGGCAGGTCCCGGTGCCTTGCAGTCCGGACTCTCCCTGATTCCTGCCGTTGGTCCGGGACCCATTCCGTCCCTCTGCCCCCAGACCGGCCAGCGCCGACGTCCCAGCCATCAAAGGTGAGCAGTCCTCACACTCTCGAGCCCCGGCCCCGAGAGTCCTTCCAACTCCGCTCCCTCCTGAGGTCATTTCCTATCCCCCAGGCGAGAAAAGCCCACCGAAGGGCGTTTCGTTGTTTCCTCTCCTCTCTTGTCACCTCTTCCACTTGAAGTACCATTTGTATCTCAAGAGACTTTATCTCCTTGGGCGTCTTTACCTTCCTGCAAATGAGGTGGTGGGAATGAGTTTATGCGAGAGCCTGCTTCCCAACAACAGTGGGCGGGAGGTAAGTCTGGTCCTTGACCTGTGAGATGGGGGACGCTTGAAATCACAGGAGTGTTGTGATTCCAGTGTATAATAACAGGGTGTGCCATCTTCACATTTTAGATATTTGCCTAATTGAGCTTAATATATAACACAGTATCACCTAATAGTGTGGCACATTTGAAAGAGTAATATAGTATTTATAAGTAATAAGTGTTAATAGCATTGCCTGCTGGGTCAGTCAACCACTATGGAGAACTACAAGGATAGCAAGTGATGCTGCGGAAAGGGCCGGCTGCCCGGAGCTGTGGGTCGATCCCAGCTCTACCATTTCCTGCATGTGGGGCTTTGGGTAGGTGCGCCTCCGTCTCCCTACGCTGTGATGGGGTGTCTCCATTGCGCTGTACGGAGTAATAATCCCTGAGAGCACGCAGGGATGTTGAAGACCACCAGGGGGCGCTAGAGAATTTCTGCACTCAGAACTGCCTGGGGATTCAAGGACCTTGATGCTGCACTGCTGCAAAGGTAGTGGGAATGGAGGAACTGTACGGGGGAGTTAGTTTCAGCCTTTTTTATTCCACAAGCTGACCTTTTCCCTTTAAGGACCTTAAGAGCCCTCAAGAATGCTAAGGCAGTGAACCCTTAAAGGTTTGGGGCTGCCGCATCCTCTGTGATAGGGAGCTGAAGGAGAGGCTACAGGACTAACCTGACTCCAGCATCAGAAATGACATGTTTGGACCCAGGAAACTTCCAGTGCAACTCGAATCAGAGACACCTGGTATGAATCACAGTTCTGTCAATATCAGAGTTGCCTAACATCTCTGGGGTTTTTTTCCTCATTTACAAAATGGGGAAACTTACAGAGTAGTGCATGTAAAGCCCTTAACAGTGCTTGGTGCATAGTAGGCACTCAGTAAGGGTTCTGTGCTTCATTCTTTAGGAACTCATGGCTACTAGTGGTGGCTACGACACAGCCACTTCTGGGCTCTCAGTTGTGAAACAGGAAGAAATTTCAGCCCAAAGAGAAAGCAAATGAGTCACAGCCTCCCCCCACCCCAAAACCGTTAGCTGGTGGTAGTGGCCTGTGGGAGACAGCCTGAGTGGGGGGCCCTGTCCCCACGTGTCCTTTTCCTTCTTCGCCCACTGACTGAAATTCTTACTTTGGGGACTTCTCCCTTCTGGTTAAGCACTGCCCACCCCAGGGAACTGAGCTTATCTTGAAACCTTTTTCTGCACAAGTACAACCTGGGATGTAGAGACACAGGAGTGAAAAGACCCCTTCTTCCCGGAGCTCAAAGTCCAGTAGGGAAGATAAGATACATTCAGAGACAACTGCCACAAGAGGCAGAGAGCGAAAATCTGCAAAGCAGAGTAAAGGCCACAAGAAGGTGCTTTGCAGGCTCCCAAGAAGGGCAGGGATCCTGTGACTCAGGAAAAGTCCCTAGGAAATAGACTATCTTGTTTCTAGCAAGAAGAAGGAAGACTTTCGATGCTAACCCTAAGAGTTTGACTTCAACCTGTGGTTATGGTTATGCTCTTATATGGAAATGAATATTCTGGGTACCAGCCCAGAAAGCCAAGAAGTGTCCCTATGGGTATGTACTGCTCCTCAAGCATCTTCTGTGTTTTTCTGCATCCACATATTTGTTTCTGCTGGGCCCTCTTCCAGGAAGATTGTCCTTCAATCACCTGTTCTCTGTACCTTAAAGTCCTGCCCATAGCCCCCAGCTCAGTTTTATGGAGTGAGCCCGCCTCTCTTCCTCTTTCTGCAGCTTTGCCCGCACTGCCGTCACCACCCAGTTCTGAGGCCCGACTGCCCTGTCTACTGCTGTCTCTCTGGCCTGGGTTTCCGTCCTCCCCGAAGGCTCCCCTTTTTCTCCCCACATCAAAATGGTGGTCACCTTTCCTCAGAACTTTGTTACAGAGTCTGTGCTGGGTTGTTTTGTCCACAACTCTTAACATGGCTGCGTATCATAATCACCTCCGGAGGCTACAGGAGCATGGACCCCTGTTGTTTTATCTTCCCTGCACCTATTCCCCCTTCTCCTCACAACTGCGGCTCAGTTTTGGGGGAAACCCTCTTACTCTCAGTCCATGTGGCTTTGATGAGGTTGACCCCATACCCAGCTCTCCGGAAATGAACGAATCTAACTGTCTCCCCTGGCTACAGCCTTTGGGCCAGAGATGGGCGTGTGGCCCAGGTCAGACTCACAAGAATCAGGCTGGAAAGACTGTGTGCGAAGGGATAACTTCCTTTGCGAAGGGCTGTCTGAAAGAACAGCAACGGTTGCAGGAGGTCTTTTGCCACTGATCTGAAAGGTCCTGCTTGAGAACGAGACCCACACTGGAGGCAGGCCTTGGGGAAACGGACTGAGTCCTCAGGATGCTATCTGTCATCTTGAATCAAACTGCTCCTGAAGCTCATCCCTGCCTGCACTTTTCAATTACAGGAGTCATTTTTGCTTACATCAGTTTGAATTGGGTTTCTTCTCTTGCAAGCAAGAGAACCCGCAGTCACAGATAGTCACCCCATCTCTCTGAGTCAGAATCTCTTTGTGATGGGAGTCTCAGCACAGGGAAGCCCAGGGTCCAGCCTGTTTTTAGAAGGGACTAAAAACCTGTTTTGTGGAGGGACTGGAATGTCCATCCAGGGCAGAAGGTCACTGCACTGGGCCCTCCCCCAGGGGGAACTTGAGCTGCAGTTTCTGTCTCCCTGATGAGGACTCTCCCGTGCAAATCCACAGCCCACATCCCCAGCCCTGGCACTTCTCACTCATGTCTGCAGCTGCTTCCTGGTGGCTTTGTTTCGAACTCCGCGACCCCTACCTTATCCCAGTCATCCTCCCTTCACTCTGCCTCCCTTTCCTTGCCTTGGCCAGTGACATTGGCAGCCTGGATGATTGCCTTCTCCTCACCCTTACCTCCTTCACTCATTTGGGACCAAGTCCTGCAGATTCTACCTCTTTAGTTTCTCTCAGATCCTTTCCTCCTTTTGGGCTTCTCTGCTCCCTCTTACTGCCTGCCCCATGCCTAGTTTGTAAGCAGGCCCAACTTCCCCACATGGGAGCCACAACCAGGAAACCTAACCTGAGGAAGCCTGGCCCCAGCACCTGCCAGAATGTGCGCCAGGCACTGCAGACTCCCTGTTCTTTTTTTCTCCCCCAGGCTTTATAATCACTGGCATGATATTCCTGCCTCTCAATTCTGCTTCTGACTCCTGCATATAATGAACAACAAAATAGGAGAGGCCTGGGCTCCTGGTGGCTTGGTGGAGTTCAGTGGCCAGGCAAGCCTAGACTTGCATGCAAATGAGAAGTTACATATCTCATTTGAGCCACTTTTATTCTGGTCTGTCTTGTGCAACTTGAACCATGTCCTAACTATATAACCTGTGTCTGTCCCCACCACTAAGCTATGAGTTTCTAGAGAACAGGAGATGACTGTATTCATCTCTGTATCCTTAGCATTCAGAATAATATAGGTGCCCAAGAAATGGTGGTTTGAATGTATGAGTAAATGAGTGAATGGTTGGGTGGATTCTAGTTCTGGCTCTTTCCTAATTAAACTACTTAACCTGCATCTACTTCCACTTATGTAAGATTTAAAGATTGATGGACAAGGAAGAAAAAGGAGAACTGGAATGTGTAAGGCCTTTCCAACTCAAAAATTCATCCATTCAACACATCTTTATGGAGCATTTTCTAGCGCCAGGCCCTGAGCTGGTGCTGGGGGCCATAACGGTGAACAAGGCAGGTCAGTGGTGGGGGCCGACAGGGGT